CACCAAGAGAGGGAGGCTCGGGAGAAAGGATCCCTGCAGGGAGGTTATTTGAGATGCTCAGCGGTGAAGAATGAGCCCTTTGAAGCTTCTGCCAGGGGCTGGTGACAGAGGCAGCCAGACTAGATGGATGGGTCTGCTCTGGCCCAGGGGCCTCTCTGGCCTTGCAGAGGCATTCCCAGCTCCCAGAGCTGGCTGATGATTCAGGGGAAGCACCAGCCACGGGCTCGGTCTGCCGGGGGAGCTCTTGGTGTGCTCGGGGGGTGCAGCAGCTCTGCTCTGCAAGGGGCCAGGTTTGTTTCCCGGCAGGATGGATGTCTGCAGATCCCGGGGTCATCCCTGGGACCTGTCTCTGGGACTGGGATAAAGCAGTCAGGGTTGCAGGGAGCTGCCGAGTGTCCCGAGCCAGCAATGACAGATCTGCTGCCTGCACACTGCAGGGGTCAGCAATGTTATCCTCTCTCTCGAGCAACTGTACGGGAGGGGATGGATTTGGGAGGGGGAGCCCTCGTTAGGGGAGAAGCTCCTGAGGGAAAGTTCCCGAGGCAGTCCAGCAAGGTTGTTTTCTGTGGAAACTGCTGGCTGTTATTTTTAAACAATAATAGTTTAATAAATAAATAACCTTGCTGCCACGGAAGGATGTAAGTCAGCTAGGGCTGTTGAGGCCGGTAAAATGGAGAGGACAGGTGTTTCCCTCCCGTCTGCCCCTGCCCCCCGCTCCTCAGTTCTGGGAAATGCCCTTCCTCGGGCTCACCCAGCGGGGGGAACCTCCCCGGTGGGGCCGAGTGAGGATTCCCTGGAGCTGCGTGCCCCCGGGGCCGTTCCCCGCCCGCCTGGGCTCTCCGAGTGGAGAGAATCCGTGTCCTGCCGGCTCTGTGACAGCACAGGTGCAGCCAAATAAATAAATTTGGGATAAACTGCCGGGATCCGGTTCCGCAGCCCCCTGCCCTCGCACCTGGGGGTCTCTGGGGGGGAGGAGGGCAGGGCGGCCCGAGGGGTGACAGCCGCGTGTCCCGGCCCCGCCTTTGGGGACAAATAGGTGACTTTGGGAGCTGGCACAGGAAAGAGCAGCGGCGGTGACCTTGGGCCGGGAGAGCCGGGGAGCCCGCAGCCATCGCCGGGGCGGTGCGGGGGTGCGGTGGGTGCTGTGGGGGTGCAGTGGGGGTGCAGTGGGGGTGCAGTGAGT